CTGGGAGTTCCTTGTACTATTCTTGTAGCTTCCTTGCAAGTTAGAAATGACATGAAAATAATAAGCTACTTAAGAAGGGCTTCACTCCTTTGTAGCTACTGGAAGCACGTATTAAATGATTATTTTTAAGGTATCTGCCAAGCTCCAACTTTTGCTTTTCTCTGTGGTCCTGCCCCCAAGTCCAATGGGGAGAATTTCTGGCTGCCCAGTTTGCCCTGTACAGGACCTATCTTGGTTACCACTGACGGAATCTACTGAAGACACCTGACCTATACTGTCACTATAATTTTTTTTGCCAGGAATTTTAAAATGATTTACTTGAGAAGAAATGAATGTCCTTTTGTTTTCAACAGTTGCTTTTTCCCAGAGTAGTTCAGGCCCTCTCCTTCCACCCTACTCATAACTGACTTATCTAAATGGATAGATAGTGATGCGCTGACCTTCATTATTCCTTAGTTCTTTGGGTGTTTTGTTTTTGTTTTTGATTTTGTAGTAGAAGTAAAACCTTGCACGCAAATGGCTCCTATCCCCAGAATTTGTTTGCTTTGTCTTATCCCTCCATGGTGTACATTTCCTAGAGAGACTTTGTCCCAGCAAGGGTGAGACTTGTATTTCGGAGAGGACTTAATTTAGGAGGGAAAGTTGCAGGAGCCCATTTGGCCTTAAATCCAACCCACATCCTCCAATACAGTCTTCCTAGGAATAAGGCTGATATTTTTGTCTTCATCTGTCTGATGTAGATTCCTACATCTCTAAAATTGGTTCAGAACCCATAGGGGGAAAGGCGTGTGATTAATTATCACCCTCCAACTGCAACAACTGCCAAGCAATCTCTGCAGGGTGACTGGAAAAGCAGAGAAAAGCAACCTACAGGAAAAGAGATGACGCAGACTCGATAAGCATTGATGAATAGCTTGTTGATTTCTTTTTCTAGTTCCTTCTTCAATTCCACTTATATTTATCTCTCTTCTTGGATTCCAAAGGATACAATATTTCTTTAGAATAAATCTTCCTTTGGGACTTAGACTAAGATCTAAAGAGTCTGAAATAATGCCAGGTTTTATTTTTCCTGCCAGTATGGGGCATTCTTAGATTTATATTTTTGTAAATTTGACAGTAATGGATATTTTACTTATTGATTGCTAGAAAACCTGGTCTCATATTCTTCTAAGAGACATTTAAACTTCAGGACCAAAGAGAAAAAAAGGCACCATTTGGGGGCAGACTGATCATAAGCTTGTACTTCAGTGTGCAAATCCTCAGTATCAGCGTCAGAAATGAAGAGAAAAAACAGAAATGCCAATCAAGGAAAGCTGCAGATTTCACTACTGATGGTGAGATCAGAACCCTTTGTCTTGTTCCACTGTCCTGAGTTCTAAAAGTCAAGGTGGAAGGAATATACTTCAAACAGACCTGAATAGCCTTCATACAATGACAGTACTAGGGGGTGATTTTAGCAGAGAGATGATAAAGTGACTGAAAATTAGTTAAGAATGTGAAATAGGGAACTGGCTGACATTTAGCCATATTTAATGTCTTCTTGAGTCGGTTCTGTGATTGCCTTGGCTGAGTTAAAGGACATAAAATCACTTCAACTGATGAGATTAGCCTCCCCGGTTTTAAATAGAGAATTAACATTCAGGCCTTCTTTAGGCCTCTTAGATGTGTCAGAAAAGTAAGGTTATAGGGCAAACTGCTCCCTCAAAAATTGGGAGACAGTTAGGTATAGAGAATCACAGCTTACTGAAGCAGAAACCTATGAACTGAAAGCTCCACAAGAATCAATGCTGGGATAGGAAAACCTGAACTATAATTGTCAAATTGCTGACAGCTCAGTGTAGACAAGTCTGGGAATTAAAAACCCTGTGAGGGCCCAATCAGACAAGGATTCACACTTTTGTGAGTTCTATTTCCAGGAGCTCTATCAGGTCCTCATAGTGAAAATCAGAGAAAAATCCTCTAGTGCTAATGGCAGGGGAAAGGAAAAAGAAACTATTACAAATATGTCCAGGATGTCCTTCAGGAGATGAATGGATAAATAAGCTGTAGCATCCAGAAAATGAAAAATTGTTAGTGCTAAAAGGAAAATGAAAAAAGAAATATTATTCACTGTTAAAGAGAGATGAGCTACTAAATCATAAAAGACCTGGAGGAAACTTAGATGCTCATTATTAAGTGAAAGAAGCCAATCTGAAAAGGCTACATATGGTGTGATTTCAACCATATAACATTCTGGAAAAGTTAACAAGTTTAGTGGCTGCTATGGCTTAGAGAGGAGGGAGAGATGAACAAGCAAAACACAGAGGACTTTGAGGGAGCTAAACTAATCTGTATGATACTACAGTGGTGGATGCATGTCATTATACATATTTCAATTCCCATGGAATGTACAACACTAAGAGTGAATCTTAATGTAAACTGGACTTTGGGTAGTGCTGTACCAATGTAGATTCATCAATTAAAATAAATGTACCACTGTGGTATGGAATATCAACAGTAGTGGAGCTAGTGGCATACAGGGTCTTAGAGATATATGGGAACCCTCTTCATTTTCCATTCAATTTGCAGTGAACCTAAAAGTCCTCTACAATATAATGTTTATTAATTTATAAAATGAAAACAACAGAATTCAAAAAATTCAAAGTGGTTAAACAGTCATTTGTTCAAGCAAGAGTGATTGGTATTCATTTAATATAATCACAAAAAGATGGCAGCAGAAAATAATGTTCCCGGGTTAGATGTGCCTGATTGGATGGAGTGTTTTCTATTTGAGGTGTAACCAAGTCTCCTTTCTGTTACATGTAAGACAGCTGGTACAAATCCATGCAGAAATTTCTTGCCTGTGGCAATGCCAAAAATTGCTCCAATTTTATAATCTCTACAATGATAAACTTGATGTTTCTAGTTTATAGTCTACATTCTCAAGGACAAAACTGTTATCAAATAGTCAATATTGACATACACAAAAATCTTTCTTTCCATCTTTTTTTTCTTGAAGAATGGAAAAGCTACACACTTGGAAGGAACCACCACACTTGACTCATTGCATCACCACACTTGGCTCATTGATTAGCTGTGCTGGCTCTATTGTACATGATTCTGAAAAAAACTATCACCCCATGAACACAATCCCAGTGAAGGGAAACCTCATTGCATATTTCTAGAGTATCAGTGGGGAGCTTTTGTGTCCCTAGGGCATCCATTCTAGATTAAAACCTACAGGCAAACACACCATGTTGAGAGACCCCAGCATATGAGGGAAATATCACAAATAGGTGGTTCATGTAGTAGATCTCTCTTTGGTGAACCAAAGGATTATTCAACTGAAGAGGTTCCTTCCTACAAGACCCAAATCTCTAGGGTAAAAATCATATCTTCATTTCATGGTTTTCCTTCAATCTGACCCATATAAATCTAGACACATATAAATACTAGGCCCATAAATGCCACATTTGGGTTGTCTCCAACACATTGCCAGTATCAGGATAAGAAACTATTTTCTGTGGTACTTGAAATTCTTGAGTTAAGGACCCCCAAAGAGGGAGTATTCATATCCAGGTATTGAGATATTTCAACCTAATGAAGTTAGTTATTATTCCTGAACCCCTCTTAGGTTGTAACTTGCCTGAAAGTTTAACTTGGGTCAGGTGAAGTGAAGCAGAAATGTATTTATCGATTAGCAAATTTCCTTCTTCCCCTATTCCCAGCTCTCTGACTCTCTCAGCAGTAAGGTAAAAATGTTATGCTATTTACCATAGGCTTTCCCAGGAAAGAGAGAATCTGCTTAATGAATGTTGGGTAACAGTTTGGTTTGAATAGATTACCTAAGCAAGAATCAATCACTTATTTTTCCTTTAAGTTAGGAGAGACTTAAAGGAATATTGACCTGTTGCCCCCAGATCTGTAGAACAATTACTTCCTTCCCCCATCTCAGATGCCTCACTGCCAAGCATGATGGCCTCAATAGTGAGCTAAGTGAAAACTCCTAACTCCCTTTCTGAATGATTAACAGATAGATGGGATATATTTTAATCTAAGACAGGTATTTATGACAGGAATAGGGTTTCCCCAGATGTTCTAACTAGAACCAATTCTCCACTTGTTTTTGTCTAAAAGTTGGACAGTAAACTTCCCGAGAAGCCTCAAATTTTGTTTACCAGAATCTGGTAGTTCCATAGAAATGCGATGTGCATCTTGTAGAAATATGATTCAAAGTTTTTTTTAAGTTAATCCAATGATATTTTAAAACTCAACATACACACATAAATACACACATACACATGTGATATTGCAAATTGAACCTACTAGAAGTCCATTAATATTGGATAAACTCATGTTGGGTCTGATTCAACTTAAATCTTTCCTGTCAACTTAGTTTAATTGATGGTTTCCTGATAATAAAATGAGTTTTAAATATTATGATTTATGATTATTGATCTGGATGATAAAAGATTTGTTTTCATATTTTGTGAACAAACAAAATAGATGAACATTTTGGAGACTAAAACTGAGATAAGATTACAACTGTTCTCTGTAATTTTTTATTACAAATGTTCTGTTCATCCAAACAGTATTACAAACTTAATTTTATATATGTAAAATATCACACTAGTGCTTCACACCATGCTTCTTTAGATATGTGAGATATGAGTATAGAGTGATATACATCCTAGAGTAGTTATAAAATGAAAGTAATAGTTGTATTATTTGAATATCTTTACTTTCAGGGCAATTCCCAAGTCTGTTATTTTATTTATTTCTTAGAATAAGGTAAGATTCCCAGTCTCATTTTATAGGTCATGGAAATGACAAAAATGTACTGACTAGGTCGCTAATAGATTGAAGTGAAAGCACAGGTTTTCAAATACTTCCCCAGGGACTATTCCATCTAGTCACTTGAAAAATTGACTTTCTAAAATAATTAGAGTCACAAAACTTAAATCCTCCCCCAGGGACCAAAGTTTCTGAAAACTAACTAGAGTTTTTGCCCTCTCTGGCAGCATTAACTTTTAATAGATCATGAAAGTTCTCCAGCCCATCTGCAAAAATGCTTCTGAAAAAGAAGCATTAACCACATAATCAATTTGTGGAACAGAGAGACGATGATGAGCTGAAGAGAAGAGAGAGAAGGGTAAGAGAAATACTTTTAGTAAATAAGTAAAATTTAGTAAATATTTTAGTAAAATAAGGTCATTTATCTTCATTTATCTTGTAATAACATCTTGATTTACAGAAAGGGATGAGTTTGGGGTTGGGGTGTCAATATTAGGGGGAAGGGAGGTAAGTGTGAATTACAGTGGTCAATCTAGACATCATAGCTGCCTGATGAGAAAACATTGACTTCTGCAATACTACCATAGAATTATGAACTGTATAGTGTTGTCACATAGGCTCTATCTCATGCTAAAAGCTCAAATCATTGTTATCTCAAAGGGTAGAACTGAGATTTGATGGTGGGTCTAGAGTGAGCATTAAAAACGGTTTCCTGACTCCCAAACATTGGCCATATTGCATTGTCTTTCTGATCATTGAAGTAATATGAAATATTAATAAATACTGGGAAATAGTAAATATTTCTGCTACATAGGAAATATGTTTATTGTACAAAATAACAACTTTTAAAAATTGAAGACATTCACCTTCAAAGAAAGGCAACAAGTTTATTAAATACATCTGGGGACTCAGTGTAGGTACTTAATCTCCATTATTAAAGACAGAGAAACCATACTTTAAAAACTAGTACATTTCTTCAGGTTTCTAGAGGGGAAGAAAAGGTGCTAGATATGTTTCAAAAATCACATTGAGAGTGACTGATATGAGGGATTCATGGCACTCTATTTACCAGTTAGGAGGAAACAAAAATGATGCCTATTATATATTTCTGTATTTCAGTAGGAATGATATAATAACTCTAAAAATAATCATTTATTTCAAAAAGCGGGCCAGTACTTGGAATTTCCAAGCACATTAGTTTCAGATAACAACTACTAAGGCCAAGTACTCAGGCTTAAGTCTCCTCTTGAATAGTGAATTTTTCATTTCACAGAGTTATAGTTTGATTAGTGCTGTAGTGAATGAATATCCAGTGAAGCCTTGAAAAATCCCTCATAACTGATTATCCTTATTCTCTCTAAAAAAAACAATTAAGCAATAAACAATGGCTTTTATCCCAAGATGACCCATTTTAATTTCTGACATCTACAAATATCACTTATTTTATATTGAGTCAATTATCTACCTCCTTAAATCTACCCATCAGTTTATCTTCAATCATTTATATGATTTAATATGTATATATATAAATAAATATATAACATATATTATAATGTTACTTATAATAACACGTATATGTTGTTCCTAAATCCATGCTTTTGAATTTAAAATATATTGTGAACACCTTTCCATGTCAACATGATAGAAATATTTCACCCTTTGAAGTGAATCCAGAGTATTCCATGATTTGAGTATGTTGGTTTATGTAATGAAACCCCTCTTTTTTTTTCTTTATATATTTTTTTAAAGATTTTATTTACTTATTCATGAGAGACCCAGAGAGGCAGAGACACAGGCAGTGGGAGAAGCAGGCTCCATGCAGGAAGCCCAACGTGGGACACCATCCTGGGACTCCAGGGTCACAACCTGGGCCGAAGGCAGGCACTAAACCACCGAGCCACCCAGGGTTCTCTAATGAAACCCCTCTTGATAGATGTTTAGATTGTTCCCCTTTTTCCCTTTTGTTTTGTTTTGCTTTATTTCTTTCTTCCTATACTTACATAACTATTTTTTACATCGATGCTTCTGAGACTCTTTGGTCAAGACTTTGGTATTAAAAGTTATTATTAAAAAAAAAAAGCTGTCAGTGTGTATCTATGAAGAATGCAATGACCACTAACACAGTTTGATGCCACCGTCTTGATTAGTGGTAAGGTGTTAGCTATTTTATACATCTAGAGTTCTCATTTATCAAACAAGAACTTGTAAATTATCCAGCAGAGACCCCTGTTTGAATGAAATGCCCAAAGAGGGACACAGGATGTGGCAACTCTCCTGTGGAAACTAGAAGTCAAGTTACTAGGGCTTTCTATGCATTGCTCTACTTACTTACTTACAGTGATTTCCTTTGATCTGTCCTATTTTACCTCTAGAAGTTTGCCTTGCATCTGGAAAACAAGGTAATTTTCCTAGAGTTCTCCAAATATTTAGTCTAATCAGCTAAAAGATATCACTACTAGCCTACCTCTTAGCTGCTCTTGCCTTAGGTTTCATGCATTTACTCTGTTCCAGCTAGACTCTGAACGTGGCTCTTACCTAACACTGCAGCTTAATTTTCAACTTGACTGCTCAGGGTTAAGTTGATCACTGGCCAGGGAATCGAGCAGAACTACTTGCATTTTTAAACGTGTAAGAAATAAATTTACCAAAATTTTAAATGTGTGTCAAACTGTTTTACTTTACCTAAAGTTCATTGTTAAGATTAAATGTTTTATGAAAAATGTCTATTTTTCTTAAAGTATTGTTTTTCCTTCTCCAGTTGAGTTCTTAAAATGTGTCTCATAGATCTTACGTCTAGTAACTTTTTCCCTCTTCTGTGAACTACCTCTTCATACCAAGTACTACTGTAGTAAAGCCAGACTGTTATATTTAGAACCCCCAGGAACTGCTGAGGTTTCCCTTATCTAGATAAGCAGTTTCCCTTCTGAAGCTTTATTGAGCACAGTTCCACTCATATTCCCCTTACCTTTCTATGTAGGTGTAGAGGACATTTTCTGGGCTCAAGTCACCTTCCTAGGACATCTCAGTTCTAGCAGGGACAGAAGATGGGCTCCACCTGCCTATCAGAATGCTGTTGGAAAAAGAGCAAATAGATGTGACATTCCAGAGGAGGAATCAATCATTCACTAATCCACCAGATAGTAAATCTTTGACCAATAAATATTACACATAAAACACTAAGCTGCATTTTGTAGGAAAAGTTGAGGAAAGATATGGTTCCTTTCCATAAGGATCTTACAATTTGTTGTCAGAAAAATATGTATACTTTTGCAGGTAAATATATCGATGTGTGTTTGGCTAAGCCAAATAGAAAAAGCAAAGAGTACCCACAGAAATAAACACTTATGAGTAAGTAAATAATAATAAATTAATTAGCCATTCATAACACATAGGTTAAGAGGTGATAGAGAGGGGAAGTTTCCAGATGAAGTCACCATTTGACTTCCCCCACCCCCCACCCCCAATGATCACAAAATCTCTTGAGCTGGGCCATATATAGTTAGTCCTCCTTGGACCCTTCTCCCAGCAATATCCCTGGTTTTTGTTGTTGTTGTTGTTTGTTTGTTTGTTTGTTTGTTTTTAATGAGGGAGAGGGAAAGAGAATCTCAAGTAGACTCCCGGCTGAGTGTGGACCCTGACTCAGGGCTTGATCTCGACTCTGAGATCATAACCTGAGCTAAAACCAAGAGTCAGCTGCTTAACCTACTGCACCACCCAGGTACCCAGGCAGTAATATTCTTAAGGGAAGATGCAAGAAACTCCTGTCTCTAGTTCCTTTTTCTCAACATCCCTGCCCTTTTTTTTTAAAAAAGATAATTATTTATTTATTTGAGAGGGAGAGAAAGAAAGTACAAGCAGGAGGAGGGGCAGAGAGAGAATTAGACTCACCATCGAGCAGGCAGCCCAACTTGGGGCTCAATCCCAGGACCCCGGGATCATGACTTGAGCTGAAGGCAGACACTTAACCAACTGAGCCACCCAGGAGCCCACCATCCCTGCTCTTGATCCTCAATATTTTACCTCATGAATGGGAAAAAGAGTCAAAGAATAGCAAACTCAGGAAAGACCTGGAAGGAAACTTTTTTTCCTAAAGCCTAGCACAAAACTTACCTATGAGGACTACACAGCTTTCTCAGGGCCAGGAGTCCCCCCAAAGTAAAGAATGAGAGGGAGTAATCTTAACTTTTTTTTTTTTTAAATTAGAATGTGCTACTTACGTATACAAGAGGATCTTTGTCAGGAATGTATATTATATAGTATTCTGTTAAAATAGATATAATTTACACTAAAAGATTAAAAAATTACATTCTAGTTATTAATGAAAGCAATTTGAAAGATTTAATCATACCAGTAATAAATTCATTATAAATGTATTATCAGTATAACAGTATTATACAACCATTTTATTGTTGATTAGAAACTTTTAAAAAATATTATAGTGGTCTTTTTAAATTTACATTTATTTATTTATTTATTTTTAAGTAATCTCCACACCCAACATGGGGCTCAAACTCTCGACCCTGAGATCAAGAGTCACATGCTCTTCCAACTGAGCCAGCCAGGTGCCCCACTTTAGAAACTTTATTCATATATAGTTATTCTCTACCAAGGCGAAAGTTCAAAGGAAATTGATAAATCACAGCTGGAGGATTAATATCAGTAAGCTTAAATGACTTCCCTATAATGGAAATAAATAGCAAAGGAACTCTAGAAAACAATGGATGATATTGAGGTCCATTTATAAAGAACTCTATGTATTGTTAGAGGTGAAAATATTCAAGAAACTTCTTTCCAGCTCTAATTCCTGATTGTCACTTTAAAGGAGTTGAATTCATTGAGATATTGACATTTTTTCTAGAGGTATCTCCCAGTTTCCTCTGTATGTCAGACTTTTATGTGATGAAGTAATTATGAAATCAATAACATTGGATGTTTAGATAAAAGTAGAATTACAAATAGGCAGGTCATATTTAATTCAAAGGATGTCAAGGGCCTCAAACACTTTTTGATTCACCATCAGAACTTTAGAGAACTTGCTAGTATTTGAAGTTCCATAATACAGGATCTAGAATCTGACAAATTAAATTTGTCCAGTTGAGTCTGTCACTGAAAAACTGAATAACTTTGGGCAGGTTATGTAACCTTCCTGAGTCACAGTTTTATCATCTGCAATGAGGGACTCATATTAATATCTACCTCAGAGGTGGTATCAAACTGAGTAATATATATGGTGCAGGGCCCTAGGAACCATTCTGAGGCAGAATTCAAAGGTGACCCCCAATGCCTCTCACCCTCATGTGATCTTCTTGTCTTGAATGTGAGCAGAACCTGTGAATGTGATGCGGTATTACTCCCTAGATTGCATTAAGTTGCAAGGCAAAGGATTTTGCAGATGTCATTCAAGTTACTAAAAGCACTCTCCTTCCCAAATTTAAGGTTATACCTCGGTAAGTCAATCATTAACCCTCACTGCAGACTTGAAGGGTCAGAGTTCTGTCCCACCCAGCCTGGACCCAAACATTTTTCCTGAGCTAAGTGCGGTGCCAGTTTTCTCTGGGCATGCTCCAGAAGTCTCATCTCTTCCTTTCCTTCTCCTCCCAGATTTGCTCAGCTGGCCAGCTGCTATTTCTCCAATGCCTTCTCTCCTTCCTTCCTTCCTTCCTTCCTTCCTTCCTTCCTTCCTTTCTTCCTTCCCCCTTCCTTTATTTTTTTGAGAAAGAGAAAGAGGACACATGAGTGGGGGTGAGGGCAGTTGGTAGAGGGGCAAAGGGTGAGGGAGAATCTGAAGCAGACTGGAGCCCTCTCTCATGACAGTGAGATCATGATGAGCGGAAAATAAGAATTGGATGCTTACCCAATGGAGCCACCCATACACCCCACCCCCTCCTCTCCCTTTCTTTGGAAGTACTGCATACTTGCTTTTTTCAATTGATTTCAGCTGTTAGGCTTCCCTCCTATTACTCCTCATCAAGTGTCACTATGATTTTCTTAGAAACTTCTTGAAATCAGCTGGTTCTGGAGAAACTTATGGATAAAATCATTTGTGGACAGTTAGCTGCCATAGCAACTACAAATGCAGCAGCCACACCATGACTTTATTTGGCTTTAGCTTGGCTCAGGCAGTAAACAAAAAAATCAAATTTTATCTGTGATCATGGTGAAGTGACACCAGAGAAGGCATCAAGATACATGTTTTTTTTACTGCCAAAATTTTCTCATCCCTCACAGAAAATGAGATCATTTTTGCATATATGCGATTGAAATTTAAAATGAAATTAAAGTTTATTCAATTTAAATGTAAAATGAAATGTTCATATTTTTAAAAAGTGTTTAAAAATGTCTTTGTCTCCTGATCTATTCCATGAATTTAGGAACTTATCCCAAGAAATAATCTGAAATATCCCCAAATACTTCCATACCAAGTTGTTCATCACTGTTGCCTATAAGCAAAAACTTGGGGAGTAACCTAAATGTCTTCATCTGAATACTGCTTAGTACTTATTAAAATCTATGCTTGGGGACACCTGGTGGCTCAGTCGGTTAAGTGTGCGCCCTTGGGCTCAGGTCATGATCTCAGGGTCCTGGGCTCAAGCATCAGACTCCCTGCTCAATGGGAGACTGCTTCTCCCTCTCCCTCTCCCTCTATCCCTCATCCCCTCACTCATGCTGTCACTCCCCCAAATAAATAAATAAAAGCATTTTTAAAAACCTATGCGTTAAAATATGTGAATGTAGTTTTTCCTTATAAAAAAAAATTTATGAACACGGGATTGAATATAATGTGTGAAGTTTTAAAATGTTGGTTATGGAGCGGTAAATGTAGTATTACCCCAATTTTATAAAATAAAAACATACATATGTTTTTGCCACATATAGAGAGAAACTGGAAATGAGAGAGAAGGAAAGAAAGAAAGACTCCATTGGCTAAGAAAAGCAAATAGCCAGCATTTTGCATTGTCCTTTGGGGAATAGCAAAATC